CCCCAAAACCCCAAAACCCCAAAACCCCAAAACCCCAAAACCCCAAAACCCCAAAACCCCTGAGTACCCTCTGATTATTGAATTATATTAAAATCTGAACTTTTCATAACCCTTAAAGTTTGCCTATCTTTCCTATAGATTCAGCTCCTTTGCTGTAACTCTTGGGCTCTTGCAGCCTGAACGCCCATTAGTTCTGTTAGTAATACTTGGAAAGTGAAACTATATGAAAAGTTTAGGGTAAAAATTCATAGAAATATTCATTATTTCGAAGAGTTCGAAGCCCATCTTTGACAAATTACCTTGTCCTTTTTGGGTGGGGACTCTTAAACCTCTTAACTCTTGAGTCGAAGCCTAGTTTTAGCTTTGCTACACGTTTATGTAAAAATTACGATTCTTCATTGAATTAGTTTTGTTTCTATTATTCCTCATAATTGTGGAAGATACGAATTCGTGAGCGTCTTTGCGGATCAGTTTGAATCCCTGAAGCTTCTCCAAAATTGCTGCTAGCTCCTCACTATTGTCTTCTATATAATAGAGTTAGGAATCATCAAAGTTTGTTTTCCTTAAATTTTGGAAACTCTCATTTAATATAATCTTCTAAATGGGGAAATGCTCGAACCAAGTTGGTGACTCACCTAACTCTAAAAGCTAGTAAACAAGTGCAAATTCGACAAAAACTATAGTGTTTCTAAATGATATTAAAGTATAATTTTATTTGCTCAAAAACTACTCTCCTCTTAGTTCTGCTATAAGAACATATTCCCTGCAAAATGTATGCTCAGATTTGCTCAAGTTTTTACATAAAAGAGATATACACCAACTCAATCAGTAAACTTGATGAATTATTCATCTGTTTTCCACAAACTTAAGAAGAACCTCGGGTTAGAGAGCTAAATTTGCAAAACTCAGGGAGAATAGATGTTAAACCATAGGTAATCAGAAGTCCCAATTCCTAATAATTAATAACTTTTAACTTAAATATGAAGACTTAGGTTATTCCCCAAAGTTAATTTAAATTGGGAATAATAATGCAGAAGAGGCAACATCCGAACTCTAGAGAAGGCACACTTCATAATGAGTTTGAGAAACCTGTTTTACTTGTTAAAAATCCGATTTTAATTGGAGGAGAACTCAAGTAATCAGGAATTTTCCTATCCAATTTTGGTAAAGTGAGTAAAAACTATTAAAGTTGTAAATAATAAGTTCCTCCTCTTCTAAAATCCAAAGTGTGTATTAGTAAATTTGGGCCAAAGAAAGCTGAAAACACCATATCGAGTGAAGAATGAGTAGACACATACCTTTCTTCTTTATTTTCCCAATTTTATAGTCTCTTTTGATTCTTCTCACCCTAAAAATTAGCTATAGCTGTAATGGGAGTAACTTTTAAGTATTTTTCAGCAAAATTTTCCATAAAATCAACGAATCTTCGAAGAATCAATTGAGGTTAGGAAATTTTTCAGAGAGGTAGGGTCAGATTCTAGAGAAATGGTGACCCAAGTTATAATAAAATATTAAGATGATCATATAAACCAAACTTAGGGTTTATTAGTCTTTTACCTTTTCTGATCAGACATCTTTTGCTTCTTAGACTCATGACTCACTTCAGTGATCTCCTGAGTATTTAGAGATGAAAAGTTCCTTTTATGTAAGTCAGTATTCCTCATTGTTAAAGTTGCCTTGGGACTCTCTGTAGGAACATTAGATGCAAGTTCAGTAATTGTGAATAATAAAGATTTACCTTTTCGAAATGAGACCATCTTAGTGTTCAAAGTTCCTCCTTTCTTATGAGTCCTAGAAGTGTTATTCATGCAATTCTTACCTATTTTCTTTAATGATGTCACCTTCAAGAGTAGTCTTTGCAAATTTTTTGTACATATCGTCAGTTCTCTTTGCCAGGTAAATTGAGTCAAAAACTTTATCATCTCTCTGTGCTGGAGGAGATAAGTGATTCAATAATCTGCTCTTTTTCCTTTTATTGATCTTAGGTTTACTTTCTGGGAGGGAAATATAATATTCTGACTTCCTAGGTCAGAGCCCCATGATGTCATTCTCTATTTCCTGATTAATTTTTCTATCTGTATTCTCTGCTCTTCGAATTTTACGGCCAATAGTGAAACTATGTAAGACCCGTTCTTGCTTAATTCTCTCAATATCGTAATTCCTCAGGAAAGACTTAAGATGTGAGGCTGGTTCTTCCTCTAAAATTTCTCTGTAGTCTTCATAATATTGCTAAATTAAGTGTTAATTTCTGAAGAAAATCTTGGTGACTTACTCTTTCGATGCTCAGTGAGTTCTTCTTGCTTGAGTGGGAGGAATTGTTGATATGAAGGTATTCTGTATCGCATTCCTCTTCAGGAGATTTCCTTCAAGGGGTGAATCTTCAAGGAAAATTGCTAATATTACCATTTGTACAGTTAAGATCATTCATTTCTTGTTTGAGTTGGAGATAAGCTAGTTTCATGATTTTTCTACAAGTTTTAAGTTAAAATTCTGCAAGACAGACAAAACAAGTGGTAAGGCTTACTTTAAATCTTCTTTCTTTTGAGGGACCAATAAGCTATCATTGTAATTTGGCTCAGGAGAGAGGCCAACAAATCTGTTCAACTTCCTATTAGCATACATTTCTTTAATTATTTTTACTTATTTTATGAAAAATATCGAAAATCATTTATGAATCACCTCTTTGGGGTTTTGGGGTTTTGGGGTTTTGGGGTTTTGGGG